TGAATATAAACCACCTTGTGTCTCTTCTTGGTTCTTTCGGTAAAGTCACGTGACTTTACCGAAAGAACTAAGAAGATGAATCCCTGCAGTCATGAAAGCTTTAAATCACCTTGTGTCTGTTATTTTGACCATGTCTTCAGATCACTGCCCTCTTTGGAATACTTAATACACACTGAGATTATCATCCAAGTTGTAAATAAATAAGGAAATGAATAGATAAATAAATACGCATGCTAGATTCCAAGCCAACTTTATATTTATTTTAGAATCGTTACAATTAAAGAAATAGCCTGAAGGTAAAGAGGTAATTCGGCTTGAAATTAGTCACGACCATTTAACTGAATAATTTGTTGCATATAAGCCAGAGAAGCCAGTCGTAGGAACAAGTGTTGTCAGTGCCACTACATGCTTTATCATTCTCTGCATGCCAAAACGACGACATCTGTATGCTGGTCCTTTCCTTAAGCTTTTCAGGAAATAGCATGCCTTGGTTAACTACTGGTTAATTATTCTAGATAGCCTTGCTAATTGCTGTGCAAACATTGCAACTGATTACTGTAAAAAATGCAGACTGACCGCAAATAATGGTGCTTCATTATCAGCCCCAGTTAGACAGAATTGTTGGGTAGCTGTGGCTAAAAATAAAAATTGCCAGCCAACAAAAATGTGCCTGAATGTCTCGGTGGCTCATTCAGTTCCAATTTACGTCTTCTTTGGGTCCATTATTAATAATCTCAACCTGGGTATGGGATACAGCCTGGTGTAGTGTACGTGTAGCAATGGGCATCCACCTTTTTCGAAGGACAAGCAAAGAAACGTAGTGCACATTGAATGACTCTCGCCTATCACCATGGGACACCTGCTGTCATTCATTAGAATGTCAGTATTATGGCTCCATCCAAAGCGACATGGGATTTCAGCTGAGATAATGGTTATGCTAATAGAGCCATGCGCGCATCCACAGTGGATGTTGCCACACTGGTGCAGGCTGGCATACACGGGGAACCCGCTGCTAGCCCGTGCTCCATGCCTTAAATAATTATTGTCTATTTCGTAAAGTTTGCATGTCACAAATAGTTTTATTGTAATTTTTAAATGCGTCACAAAGATGTAATGCTTTTCAGGAGGGGTGTTTGTCCAGTTCCAATAATGAGCATATCAGAAAGATTAGCTGGGATTTTTCTGCACCAATTGTGTTTTTTTGGTATTCATCATTATGTTTTCTGTTTTCTTGTACCACCAACTAGGGGTGGAACATTGCATCGATTAATATCGATTATTAAGCTTGCAGTAATGCATCAAATCGTGCGTACAAGAATTAATATTTTTCAGTTCATATACATCGTATTTATTGAGTTCATGTCAGAACTACAGCCACACCGGTGCTTACATTCACCACGGGGTAAAAGATATATTGAATTTAATTACGACCCTCGAATTTTGATAATTCAAGTAAAATCACCAGGGATGGAGTTCATTGTTCCAGCCCTACCTATAATGGTTGTGTGTTAGAGCACATTTCTATTTACGTATGCACATTGTGGCCTGACTTCTTTTTAGAAAAAGCTAATTAAGTCACTGCATGGTATGATACCTTCAGCAGTTATAATAAATGCATATTAATTGGTGGGCCTTTTTGCATAGCATAGACCTGCCTTTCTTTCCTGGCCCAAAGCTAATAAGCACTGCTTGTTTAGCCAAGCAAACCCGATAATGGCTTGGTAAACACAAATGAAAAAAGAAGCCCTTTCAGAGTCCAGAGTAAAAAGCACAATTAGGGGGACCCCCCATTGTCTGCCTCTAATTTTGATATCATCGCTGAGTTTCAATGTGTGTGTGTGCGGGGTTCATGGCCCGGTCACCTTAGGAGGATAGGCTCTGTGAGGTTTGGCCCTCCACGCTACATTAATTGCTAGCGACGCTGCTGCTGCTGCTGCTTTAGGCTGCCGCTTCTGTTATGCTGCGTTAGAATATGTCACAAGTCAAATGGTGCAGAGCATGTCACCACATGAAGGCACTTTTTTCCATGTGATTGGCTTCAGTGGTTAGTGAAAAGCTTTTTTTTTTTTTACAATAAAAAAATACGATTCCTTGCTTTCTTAACATATTTAAAGTTTCGATTTAAAGCTTTCGTGACTGCAGGAATTCATGTTCTTGGTTCTTTCGGTAAAGTCCCGTAGAAAGGAAATAATAAAATAATAATATATTACACTATAAAATTCTCACGACGTTTCACAAAACCACACCTGATGACGGTTGCTTGTGTTGCAATCGAAACGTCGTGATAATTTTTTTGTTTTATTTTTATTATTTCCCTTCTACGTGACTTTACCAAAAGAACCAATAATTTTTCTATTTAAAGCTTTCGTGACTGCAGGGATTCATCTTCTTGGTTATTATTTATTAAAATAATGATTATTTATTATTTTATTATTTCCCTTCTACGTGACTTTACCGAAAGAACCAAGAAGATGAACCAAGAATATATTTTAAGTTGATAGTGTTGGGCTGTGCATGGATTTTTTTCAAGCGAATTGTGAAAAATCGGTTAGAAAAGCAAATACTTTTAAAATATCTGCAACACTGAGACTAGCTTGCCACAACTTTCCATGCCACATTGAAACCATTTTTCCTATTGCATTTACTTCTTTGTCAATATTGTATGCTTTTTCAAAGTGATATTGGTTATTTTCTATTAAATTATGTCTCCTCTTGGCAGTTGTACATATGTGCCAGTATGAGATGAAATCACAATGATTTGTTTTTACTGTTCCATAGTAAAAAAACTTAGCCCATTTTCCCCATTACAATCATTTAAAAGCAATGCTCGCTTGCCAGTCCTTAGTAAATCACATATTACGTAGCTAATTTTAAGGTTACTACAAAGATGATGGGTGCCTTGGTTGCATTCTCCCTTGAATGATCGCTGGTGTGTTTACTCTCTCCTGGACAGCCCCGTACGAAATGTAAAACCTTAAATACTCACCCACATTTAAGCACAAACTACTTTCTCTTTTAAATAAATATTCAAATAAAATATACACTCGTTCAACTATAAATTGGCCATGGTACAATTGGTAGTCGGTTGTTTTAGTAAACAAATAAAGTATGATATATAGTCGTAGCAGGAACATTTTAAATTTGTGGAGATTTCTCCTTCTCCATTCACATACAGCGATGGGTGTCTCTCTCAACGACTGTGAGTAGTGACGGCCACTGCTATGGTCTCACAGTAAATATCCTCCCAACTCCTCCTGCCAGTCCTCTTTGTATAAACAGTGGCTCTTTGGAAGTGCGCAAGCAATTGAATTGTGGATACTGTGCAAAGATGAGTTGGCTCAACGAGAAATATCTCAATATACTACGCCGTGGGTTCTGTGCATGGGGCATATTTGCGCAAATAAATAAAGATACACAAACAAACAAATATTGAATTGCATGGCTGGGACATCTTAATGGATTATGCTGCAGGAACGCACATTAAACAGGCTTACTTAGCAGGCAACCTGAACCACGCGTATCTGAAAAATCTGTGCGCTGTCTGCCAATCACTGAGGAGGTCCTTCCAAAAATTTACAATGACATAAAAAGGCTTTCTCCAATGGTTACCCTGGAAAGCTTCATATTTTCACAGTTTGTCATGTTGCTGCATTGTGAAGCTTAAGTACCCCCCTAAAGCTTTTCTGCTTTTATTTGTTTGTTCTTCTCCTTTGTGCGGTCCTTGAAACGAAGACATTAGTAAACAAATAAATAATTGACTCTGGTTGACTTTTTCTTCTTAGCCGGGCAGTTAAAGAGGTAGCCATTATCATATTCTCTCTTCACATGCGGGGGGGGGGGGGGGGGAGCCAAGCTTCATGATTCGGAAGGATTAACACCTTGAAAAGAGCCCCGTGATCTATACCACACGGGCCGTGCCGTGAGCTCTTTCTCCTCCTGTGGATTTTTTTTCTTTTGTCTTGCGCCGCACAGTTTCGGGGGGGTCTCTCCTGCCTTCCCCACCCTCCAACGTCGCTCCCTAAGCCCTCACATTGGCCCCCTGTAACTGGCGCAGCGGGAGCCCACCGCCGCGCCATGTGAGGTGTATCTGTTTCATAGTTGCGGTCGGTCCCATTAAAGGTCGCACGCCGAGCTTTATCACTTAGCTGAACTCCTGATGTTACACGCACAGAAGAGACCCCCTTCTGCGTGCCCATCCCCGGTGAGTTACGACACGGACAGCTGCCTTGTCGGCCCAAAGCCTTTCAAGCGGACGGGGAAAGTCCGGATGAATGGCCGTTTGCCGCGTGCGCGTATAAATCTGACCCCGGTTTGCACCGAAAGGAAGCGGGTTTATAAAAGTCTTAATGCAGCCGGTTTCCTGTGCAGTGTGGTTTGTGAACTTTTGCGGGGGTCTGTGTTTGTAGGGAGGTTGTAGCACCCGTGTAGTCATTACCACTGTGAGTAAAGACATCCAATCTGTGTTTGTGTCTTTTTGGATCCAGCGGGGAACGTATTTTGTAAAGCTACTTGTTAATAGCTGTCAGCGGTGGTGTCTCAAAGGTGTCAGGCCGTACTGCTGCACAACCCAGTACCGTGGTGGTTGTTTACGCCAACTTTAAACATTGGTCAAGTAGTGGATTCTTGCACATTTTTTTGCGATATTATTTAAATAAAGGTTGCGAAGTGGGGTTTTTCAAGGCCACAGAACTTGAGCCTTAGCTCAATGGCTTGTTTGGACTTGCTGTGCATTTGGTTGAACTGCTGACAGGTGACTAAAGTCATTCCCTACCTCCTTATCGCTCTCTCATATCTCACTCTGCCCCACGTCTCTGTTGCGGTCCCCCTCCATGTCACCCCCTGTGCTACGCCTTCCTTACCCCTGCCTCCTTGCAAACCCCCGCGGCTCCCTTTAAAAACGTCTCTCTTCCTTTGTTACGTCTCATCGTCCCCCAAATCTGCTTTCTCTCCCCCCCCCCCCCCGTGTCCCCATCCGCACACCCCGCGAATGTGCCTCGCAGGCAAGAAGCCCTTCTGGCCGCCATCAGCGAGAAGGACGCCAACATTGCGTTGCTCGAGTTGTCGGCCTCCAAGAAAAAGAAGACCCAGGACGAGGTGGCGGCCCTCAAGCGTGAAAAGGACAGGCTCGTTCAGCAGCTCAAGCAGCAGGTGCTCCCGACCACCCAGCCACCGCACCACACCACGCCGCCCTTCTGCAGGCCATAACACTGCCCTTCCCCCCCCTGCTCCCCCGTGTGCCCGATTCGTCTCGCAGAAGTCATTAAGTGAAGGCCGACAGAACAACACATGGGCACGGAGGCCTCATTTCAGCGGCAACACTGTTTAGACCCCTGTGTGTGTGTGCGCGCGCGCGCATTCTTTTTTTTAAGAGAATTTATTGGAGGCATTTCAGCCTAGTTTGCTGGCATTTCAAAATAAACCCCTGGGCCCCGCACACACCCCCCCCCCCCCCCCATGCCCAAGACGGTGGTTCCAGATGTTTTCGGGCAAACATCGCTCGTGAGCGAATGCTGCTCTCGATCCACCCATCAAAGTAAGCGTAATGAGCTGGAATTTCCTGCGCAATGAGAGCATTTTTAATTCGGCACAAAAACACGTGCAACATCTGCTCATTTTAGTTAACCTTTTTTATGGAGGTTGTTGAAAGTGATTGGGGTCAGTCTCGTTTTGCTACCTGGTTTTTTTCGTGTTGATGCAAAAAGTTTTTATTGCTTTTTATTTCTTCTTCCTCCCTTTATTTATTTCCGCTGCGCTTCATGTTCATTTGCACTTGTGTTACTCGCATAAAACCAGGGCAATGCACAATTTAGTACTTAGCATCGGTAAAAACTAATGTGTGCATTGTGAGTAATTATTTTCACGTGTGCATCTCACCAAGAAGCTGCTGGAAAGCCATGCAAGCCTCCTTACCTAGCCCTGATTTCCCCAGACACTGAGCATTGCCATTCTTCAGCTTAAAACAAAGAATCCCACTCAAGACGAGATGGCATTCTTCAATTCGGAACGCCTGGCGTAAATGCTGTCCACTCCCGAGCAACAACAACAACAACCGCCATTCGCCACTAAGTGGCGGTGACGTCACCACGGCGCTTGTGCCAGGCTTTGTGCACGTTAAGGCCACGTGAAGTGTCTAACGCCCGCCGGCAGGAGGTCACGGGGCAGACCCAGGAGTCAACTGACTGAGATGACTGGCCGATGCACCACCTGTGCCCCCTACTGTACCAATTCTCTAGCATGCACACACACACACACACTTCCCTCCCGATCACATCCGCTCTCAAACCTGCCCAGACGTTCCACATTTTAGAGGATAGGATCCCTTCGCAATATTACGGTGGAGGGATAGGTTTGTAGATGTTTCGTTCACTTTACTTTTGATGTTGGTTTTGTCGCTGACTTGAACAGTTTTTGGAGCAATTAAATCCGTTTGTGTGCAGGTACACTCCGTAGATTATGACATCGCAAGATTGTGGGTTGTGGCTTGTGGAGGGTTTCATCCAGAAGTGGATTGAACATGGCTGCTGATGATGTTGTTCATGACCAAAGTTATCTGCGAGCTCTGCATAGTTTAATAATTGTATTGCTCAGTTGTATTTAAAGGCAGATATTGTATGCGGCCACTTCATTGTATAACTGTTCACGTTATATACACAATCTCCATGTGCCACAGGTAAGTGTGTACACGTATAAAAAAAAATACGAGGATTAGTGTACTGCACAAATTAAAAATAAGCAATTAGTTTCTCAACATAATACTAATATCTTATTTCATCAAATGTAACTTAAGATAAATTAAATTAGTGTGGAATTAGTGTATGCAAGGTAAACTCGTGATCTGCAGACATCTGTGGAGCCTATAATTTACTTAAATGTAATGTTGGTCTGTGTTTTGGAATAATTCCAGACGTTAAACACCCGCGATTTGTGAATGTTGAGCACGTTTAATGTCTCTTCTGTAAAGCTGTTGCTCCCGCCAGCATGGTGCGACTTTCATTTAAGCCACATGCATTCCCGGTTCGGTTTAAATGTCTGTGCTCCGTAGACCCTGGCACAGTTGTGTGTCGCCCGCAGGTCTTGCCACAGTATCACGATATGAACATCGACGCGCTATTAGTTTAGCGTGACTTTGTTAATCGTGCTTTGCGCTTTTATTGTTTTTTAATGCTTTGTCGTGCTTCCAGTGTGGATAAATATGACTTAGAAGTTCTTCAACTGCAGTTCTCTCGACCTCTGCCTGCCATAATTATTTCTTATCATCACAGTCTCTAATACTTATAATGCACATGCTTGTCAATCACACGAATACAATTAAATAATATAATGCTAACATTATCACAATCACTCTTGCTTCGGAAAACATTTAGCAAAGCACTCATTGAATCGATATTATCTCTATATTAATTATGTATTTGTATGTTTAATTATTTCTACCACATTTTATCAGGGAATAACATATTTAAGAAACGTTAAATGAGCAACCATAATGATGATATGACGTTTTGCAAAACGGTAATAGATCTAACATCGTATGATGTTTCGTGGCATTGCCATATCGCGGCAACCGTAGTAGCGTGTATGGCCGTAGCTGTGGTCACAGTTGAGTTCAGGGCACCTGATCAGCTGACTCGTCGTCACTGTTCAAGACGTTCCTCTCACAGTAGCACAGAGAGGTTACGATAGCATGACCTACTCATGCATGGCTGTCTGATCCAGCTAACAGACCCCTTACTCCAGCCAGCTCTCCACTGCTTGTTGGCCTTAAGTTAGCAGTCTTCAAAGACACTGGAGTCATCATCAGAACATCAACAGGCCAATGCGCACATCTCTTTCATTGATGGAAACTTAAAGGCATGCCACAGGAGTACAATTGTGGCCATGGAAGCCAAACTCTGGACCATATGGTAAACCACTCTAGTCTGCGCTCCTGCAACAGATGAATAAAAAAAAAACTACACCAACTCTCAAGAAGCCCTCGGCATGACTGGCAGACCTTGATATTGGTATTTAGCTCTGCCATACAGAAGAAGAGAAATGCATCGGGTAGCTCGTGCAAAATGTGGAGGACATTTTATTTACAAAACATTTAGTGCCGTTGTGTTACTTCAAATGGCATACGCTGGAGCGACTTTTGTATTTCTTGTGCGCACATGTTTACGTTCGTAGGTATATATGTGTATAAGCATTCTTATTATTATCAAAGAGTATCCCTTGCAAGGCGTCTGTTGTTTGCTGTCATTTAGCAGCATTATCATTACCCTTATTGTCACGATAACAATTACTATAACCACCATTGCTTCCAAAGAATGCTGGCCAAATAAATGGAGGAATGGAAATAGCACCGGGCGCCCGCTTTGTTGCGGTCGGATGTGCTGTCGTGCATTCTTGAGTAATAAAAGGCTTCGGGATACAGTGGATGCATTCAGAGAATAGCGAACGACCCTACAGCACTACAGATAACGCAACAGAGGAGGATGAATCTCTCCAACCCTCCCCGTGTCAGCCTTCTACAGTCCCCAGGGGACTTTTATTCCCCCGAAGCGCAATTCAGACAGGTGGATGTCGAGGATACGTATAGCATTTGAAATAGGGCTCTGCTTTAATAAACGCACATCCGATGCAATTCTCTGGTAAATGTAGCTAAAATACCAACTTTGGTTTCTGGAGGGGGTGCGATTGCTGGTACCCGATATGGAAGGCCAATGTATTTTTTTTCTTCCTGAGGCTGTTTCAAAAAGTTTTTAGTAAGTCACTCGCATTATTTTATTGGCAAACGAATGCGGAAAACAAATTAATATTGACGCGGTTGTTTTGCAGGGAAACTGTTTGAACAGAGGCTTTTTGTGAATGTCGGTCTTTATTTGTCACCATTGCAGATGGAGGAGGGGGCCTTGCTGTTTGAATGTCTTTTGGCAGATGCCATGTACCAGATGGTAAAAGGGAAAAAAAAATGAAGAATGAGGCCAACAATGAAATTGCCAACAGCGAGTTGACACAACCATTGTTTAATGTCAATTGCGATTTTTTTTTTGCTGAATAAATGGTGCCAAATTTTGTCATCTCGTTGACACGAGCGGCAGATGATCATGATGACGATTGTGGAGGAAAGCAGTTTGATCTTTTTGCTGCTTAAACGATTTATCAAATATTGCTTCATTAAAATGCAAATAAATCTGTTATGCTTGCAGGGCTGTATCATGCAAAGGTTGTGCACAGTAATGTTTATATATACCTGGAAAGGTTTTTTTTGTAAAACAAATGTGTAAAAATATTTGCATGATAAGCCCTATTGTATAAAATCATAAGCTCTATTGTTGATTTTTATTATCATAAATTAATCACAAGGCATTCAAAATTTTGCAGAATTATATTTCGATTTTTTTTTGTATCTATACATTTAGGTCCTGAAAATGATTTTTCGCATATGTCTAAATTCAGCCACGTTGAAATAATGTCTTTTGTAATATATTTAAATGTATCAGCACTGATAAACATTAATTTGTTAGCATAATGTGTCCATAAAAGTAATCGCTCACAAAAATACTATTTATATAACAATCTATATAATTTTCCACAATTAATGTCAACGTAAAAAAATTTCTATTTACAATTTTTATTATTACTCGCCATCAATGTTGTGGAAGGCTTCAGCTCACTCTAAAATATTGCAAAATTATGAAACCATATCACACAGATGAAAGCAATGGTTTTATTTTCGTTTGAGAAAATGTAAAAAAAATAATGTAAACATGCAAAACAAATTATGAGTGTGAAAATGGTTTTCACAGTATTGTGTTTATTTTTCTGATGGTGGGGCTGTAAGTAGAATTCATCTGTATGCAACACACGTTGCATTGTGGCTTGTCTGATTTCAGACTCAGAACAGAATGAAGCTCATGGCAGATAACTATGAAGATGACCACCAATATCATCGGCACCACCACCCAGGGAAATCTCAAAACACCAACCACAGGCCCTCCCCAGACCAGGTAAGCCATGTTGCATTTTATACTGGGCCTCCTTGGCATGTGCCGCCTCCTCTCTGATGTTGCTTTTAGTTATCCTTACACTCATATTTTCATGTTGCCCTTCGTGGCATGTCGTAAGCTGCAGGATTGTGAGGATATGTTCAGTCAGCAGACCATTCACCCCGCGTCAGAGAATGGCCTCGGAAGATGACGCCACAGCACTACTTCATAAATAGACGTCTTTGAAAGAATGCTAGAAGCATATGTGTATATTTATATATACATAGGCCCTGCAAAGATTGTATTAATCAAGCCATAATGTCGCTTGATTGTCTTATTGCTTGAATAAGCAAAATGTAAGCTGATATTTGTTTTGTGTCATTGGTGATTGGGCTGAGACCATTCACTTGCTAACACTTGAAACCGCAGTTTAATCATGGGTGACTACCTGGATTTGAAACCAGGATCTCATCAGTGCCAACTCATTTCCATAGTTCCTGAGCCACTTCTCACTGTTAATGTTTTAACGGCAGCGATGAGACCACAAACATCATCTTCGTGAACTCGCGACTAATACAACAAGTTGCATATCGCGAGCGATTACGTAAATACACGGTACAAATGACAACCAAAATAATTAGAAAAATATACCTTTCTCAAATCCACAAATTAATTGCATGAAATTCATTTAGAATCGATAACCTACGCAGCAAATGTACACTGCGTATTTATGCGCATCCACACGGGAGCATTCCGTTGCAAAACCAGATTGCTCTCACACGAGCATAACTCAATCGCCTGCTTGTATTCAGACATCTCTGATGGCAGAGACGTCTACATGCAATCGTTTCAGTCGCATGCAACCTGCCTTCATGGTATTTGATCATAGCTTAGCAAAAGTCATTAACGTTTCTAATGGATAAATAAGGGGGTCAAAGATGTGTTTGTATCCTAGACCAACCCAGAAACGGACAGCACCAATCAAGTAAAATATGCCCGGATTATTGGCTTTCCGGGAACAATTAAATAATTTTTGGGGTTTCAAATTATGTTAAGAAATCCATGTTGTGGCACGATGCTCTTCACGAATGCAGTACGCGTTCTAGTAAATTCCAAAATTGCACTCCGTTCAGTTGTAATGGAGTTTATAGAGGTTGCATGGGAAGCCCGCACGGCATATGTGCCCTGGCTGTTTTTGAATTTATATAGCGTGATGGATTTCAAATTGATGTGCTTTCAAAGGCTCATTGAGTAGGTGCTTACACACTTGTTAACACACGCAAAATTATGTGTTGGGGTTTAGGCTATAAAATCCTCCCATAAGACAAAGAGCGTTTCGTTTTTAACCGACACGGACGAGGTAAGTGTGCGCTCCCTGCCGTAGACTCATCGTGAGGGCTATCCATGCTGTAGCTACTTTACGCGCTGCGCCGCTGCTGCTGCTGCTGCCTTCATGCCCCATTACACAGTGGACAGGGTGGGGCGCTAGGTATTTGTGGGACCCACGAATATGCAGGTGATCTGCAGCGCAGGATGTCCCGGCACACTGGCATATTTGCCTGGGGGTAGGGATGAGAACTCTGTGGTTAATTCTTTTGGCGGTGTTTCCTCCTCCCACCCCCCACCCCACTCGAGTTAACATTTTCGATCAATGTGGGATTCACAACGGGCAAAAGGTGATTGGGCCGAAGAGACCAAACGATACTCGTACGTGAGCTCGTGGAGATGTGACGAGCTGTGGCCGTGGGATAGGGTGGGGCGACAATGGGTAGCCCAGTGTGCTGTTGTGCCAGGCGCTGGCTGTTTATTCACGTGGGTATCTATGTCCGACTGCTCAAGCTACCCCCCCCCCCCCCTCCACATGACCCTCATGGATTTTTGTGCTAAAATGGGGAATTTTTGTACATGGCAATGATTTATTTTTTTCATCCCCAATGGTTAAAATCATTGCATTCGGTGACATGGGAACATGCTTTATAGTGTCGTAGCACGATGGACGGTGTTCTATGTCGTAATGTGGAGCAGTGTCATAATGAGTCGTTGTATATATATTTTTGTAATGATATTGACAATGCCTTTAAGACGATGTGTGGCTTTTTGACACTGGGGGAATTCTTGTGATTTGTTCTGGGTGCACTGGATACCGAGTTTCTCAATTCCATGGTGGTTTTTCATTCCAAAATCCTGTCTGGGAGCCATAATTATCAGTATTATTATACATTGCATTCATTTTTACGCAGGTTTCCATAATGGCAGTGCTTTGTATATTTTGATAGAATCTTTAACACTGGTATTGTCCTAAATACATATAACATATGAAAATTACACTATATCTGTCAGAATTTTAATGTAACTTGTTTTTTTATGTTTTGAAGCCAACACATTGATTTTTTATATATTTCAACATAAATTCATCGCATTAAATCAACAATTGCAACTGCACTGCATCACAGAATGGAGGTGCCATGCATTGTGAAGTCTGTTTCTACGACGTGAACATGTACTGCTTGTGATGGTCAATGGGACTTTTCAAAGGCTCCCCTTGATTTCAGTAACGTGTAACGGTGTCCAGTTTGTTTAACATTGTTCCGACGTGATTTCGTGATCTCTATCACGTCTCTGCAAGCGCACTGACAAGCGCCACTTTGCTAAGTACGTGTGGATATGTCTCGGTACATATGTATTGGTCAATAAAAACAACTATTGCTGAGTGGAAAGAAATGAATTGATGTTTCGCCAAACATAAACACATGGTGTTTATAATCATCCATTATTAAATCATAATTAGGCAGCATTTTGACCTTGGTCAATAAAATATGTCACGCACCCACACTCATCCAAATTTGCAAATATAAAGAAGTTATTGCATGACTATTTTATCGATATTAACCTCCGCAAGTTCAAGTGTATTTTTGTTTAACCATGTGGAGAACTCAAGAGACCAGGATAGTTTAATTTGCAAGAGTGGTCTGGGGCATTGGTGGGGGCTTTTAATTCCAATTGAGTAATTTGCGGTGTAATTTTCCAACGTGCCAAATTTGGACCTTGACGCCAGCACACAATGGCCTGCTCTTGTGAATTACGTCATTCGGGTCTTTAACGTCCACTGCGAAGCAGACTGCACATTATTATTGTAGTAACACCCGACAATAGTCTGCAACAGTAGGAGTCTTTATTTCACACAGAGAGACACAGTCTGCAAGGATTCCCTTCACCCCACGCATCCCGAACTCTTTTGCTTCCTCTTTATATATCCCTCAAGCCCCGAAGGTTCCTTGGCCTGCTTTTCCTCCAGCCGTTCACCTTCCACTTTCTATAACGGATTCCAACCATTCACCTTGTCAATCATCCTCCGTTCCCGCTCTTTGCATTCGTATTTCTCCTCCAATCCCTTCAATTTCCTGCCTCTAACCAATCCCTTTTCAGAGGGCATGTTTTACTCCCTGACTGTCCATGTTATACACGCCTCATCCATAACACCGAGTGAGTATTTCTGGTTGTGATTGAATCACTGCATTATTATGGCTATTACTCGTTGCAGTAATAACCAGGGTCGCTGCTGGATTCGAATCCTGGGTGGCGGCTGGATTCGAACCATGAACCTCTGCGGCTATACCGCTGGGCCGCGTCACCACCGAGCTTTACCACCGCAATGCTGGCGACACGGCTCGTGGCAACGCACACGAGTCCCAAGTGTTGGCCAACATTTCTGTTGCCGTCGTTTGCATTGCTTCTCTCGTTCCTTGGGTGTGCAAGGAAGAGAGATGGGCCATCGCTCACCATGTCCCCGATTGTCAACATATTTGTCTGTCACAAATATGTTGACGTAAACATTTCAACCACTCGGTTCAAGCTGCCATCTAATTATAATCATTTACTAATGGATGATACCTTTCTTAATGGACACCCTGTACAGTATACACACACACACACAACGTCTTGGTAAATTAGATCGAAAACATCAATCCCTTTCTTTTCACCAACAGTGATTTTTTTTTCTCCCAGTTGTGGGTGCGCGTGTAAATATTGTTTATTGACCGATGTCTGTTTCCTTCTAACTCTGTGGTCTTGTCGTTTGTATTTCCATGCTGCTTTCTCGGACGCCTTTAGGATGACGAGGAGGGCATTTGGGCATAGCTGCTAACACAAGGAGCCAAAGTGCCCATTTTTGTGTTCAGAGGGGTGAGAAATCGGACTTTGTTGGTCATATTCATGTTGTGTCGTGTCGTGTCCATGTCACTTCTGGTGGCGGTGCTGGTGACGGTGGTGGTAATGATAGAACACCGTGTTTCCTGCAGTGAAGGGCTGCCAAACGGGGTGGAGGTGTGGTTATTCTCAAGCACTTTGACGTGCACTGCACCGGGCAGCGGGTGGTCGAGTTAATGGTGCGGGGGGGATTTCGGCCAACGGCTCCACATCGGCCCTGGCTGTTCCTGCAGGAAACACTGATTGCTGCATGTCGGTGTGGGGTCCTGTTCTATGTGTCACTTTTCCTACTCTGTCTATCTTTTGCCGCCCCCCCCCCCCCCAGCCATTGTGACCGTGTTGTCCGTCATGCTTCTTTCACGTTGCTCGTGTACTTATTGCGACGTTGGCCTCCCAAGCCCCCCTCCTCCCACCCACCGCCCATGCTCACGAACACTCTTTGCTTGCTCGTCATGCTTGGAGGAGGACGTCACACTTTCCTACGTGTCACGGGACACGGTGGGGAAAGTGCGGCCTTCGTTGAAGAGAGGATGCTAGGCATTGGTGTGTCGTCTGAATTCCCACTGTGTCCCATGCTGGCAAAACCATTGTGTTGTCTGTATGGTCCCATGAACCCATCTGCCCTGCATTTTGACGTTCTTCAATACAAATCAAAAGCATTATTCTTTTAAACAAGCCTGTATGCGGTCTTGCGGAGCTATGCTATGTTGAGATTGAAAAAAAACAATTCAAATATGTGTGCTTTATATTCATGTTGTACGTTGGAGGATGGAGCTTCATATTTTCTAAGTTTACATTAGTCACTGTCAATAACA